TATCCGCGTCTTTTTATGCTTATTGCTTTTTTGAATAAAAATATTTATCACTTTACTTTTTCGCAGGCAAGCCGACATAATTGCAACATTAATTGTTATTATTACGCACCAACATGTTGTAGAACAATTAGCTAAGGTATATTTTTCAGATTTAAATAACACTCATTTCTTTATTACTTAATATTGAACTCATTTTTATTTGATTTTTTTGTACATGACATATCCGATCCGATTACCTTTAACGCAGCCATTAATGCACTCATAAACTGTACTGCGCACAAATTTTAGATTTATTGATATTGTCAAAATAATTTGTCCTAGGTACTTGAATTTGCGAAAATTAATTTGAGAAAAAAGCGATTAGTTAATGCTGTTAAAAAAAAAATTAAAAAACGAAAAGACGAGTACGCAAGAAAAGTCAGAAACTTAGGACACATCGGTTTGCGTCGGTTTAAATAATATTTATTTAATTTAATTATTCCTTCTTAGACTGCAAATTTTTGTTGGACCAGATATTTGTTATCTTTCATCATTTCTTTACCTGTTCATCAACATGACATAAGAAAAGTTTCACTAAATGTGGCTTGTTTTAAAATGCGATGATGTTTTTGTCAAACAATGTATATTAATAAATTTATTAATTTTTTTATACTTTTATCGTATTTTATTTATTTCACATTGTCAACACTAGACTATTTTAATTCGAAAGATATTGTACTTGAATAATGTAAGATAATCTAATTTAGACTTATGATAGGTTTGCATACGTAATGTGAAATCCAAAATCATACTCTAATTGCTATCTGAATTATATTGTGACTTATTGACGCAACTTTAAAATTGGTTCTTTCGAGCAGTATTTCCGAGTTACAATAGTCATATTACAATCCGACAGAGCAATTTAACACACTTCATAAATAAAAAACTTCTTAAATATTATATATAATAAATATAAATTAAGATATTTGTGTTAATAGATTCGTCGATTTCACAACGCAAATTGTTGTGCGCTTTATTATATATCCGGAAAATAGAAAATTTTAATTGTAAGACATTTTGTATATAATTATTCTTGGTGGCAATAATACTGACGGGTAGAAAGTAAATAACGGTATCCTAAAGACTGAAGGATCATATTTTTAGTAACGCCGAAAATTGCTCGTAAATATACATGTTTGCTGCACATTCAAGTAAATTGTACGAAGATATACGTGTCGTATTCGCGGTAACGAAAATCATTGCAAACAAAATGCCAAATCTGTCACTATTTAATACATGTTTTCATCTAGCGAGGGTGTTAGTTTCCGAGCGCGAAATAAAGAAGCTTCTTAAGTTGAGAAATAAACTTTCGAATGTATTCATTGATGGGTAGATCTGATTTTTTTCACTCATAAATATTTTCGTCATCGGTTCAAGGTTCGATTAATCATCTCAAATATCTGCCAAAAAAATTCCATGCTTATGTGCTCAAATCAGTGGAAACACTGGATGGTTTCTTTATTTGAGATTATCAATATATTCAGGAACGGCGTCGCCGCCGCCATCGTCCTACGCCGTGGAGTTAAATTATGATTAGCCGCAGGACATCCGAAACCTCAGACTTCTTGTCAATTTTTAAATATGTTTTTTTTTACGGATTATGTATTTATTGTAAGTATTGAATGATATTGAATTTATTACACGTATTAAATTTTTATTTTACTATTTTGTAATTTCACGAATTTCTTCTAATCTTGCAATTTGTAATAAATTCACCTCTCTCAAGCTAGCAGGACCAAATCAGCAAAATCAAATCCGACCTATCGGAATTTTTAGTACCCATTTTGTACTATTTTGTACCACAAAAAATAATTTTGTACCTCATGCCATTACAAAAAAAATCGTGGCGCTGCTAACTTGATGTCAAGCTAGCAGGACCAGAAAAAAAAAATTAATAAAAATAAAAAATATAACATATTCTTTTAGTGCAGAATTTGTACTAATTTGTACCATTCCAAAAATATCAAAATATTTTCATTAACCCCTTAAAACAACCCTCATTTCGTTTAACCTACAAAATAGTCCATTTCACTTTCAATTTCTTAGGAATTTAATTAGCGAAATTAAACTAAATTTGTCCCATTATTTACTACCCATCGTGTACTAATTTGTACCACCAGAAATAATTTTGTACCCCTCGTTACTTAAAGAAAATTGTGGTCCTGCTAACTCGACATCAAGCCAACAGAATAAAAATCTTTAAAAAACCAAAAATAAAAGGAGATTCTATTAGTATTTAATTTGTATCAATTTGTACCACCCCAAAAAACATTAAAATATTTTTATTAACCCCTTAAAACAACCCCTATTTTGTCTAATCTAAAAAATAAGTCTTTTTTTCCAATTTTTTCAAAATTTTATTATCAAAATTGAACTAAATTAATTGTATTATTCATTATTTGTCGTGTACTAATTTGTACCACCAGAAATAATTTTGTACCCCTCGTTACTTAAAGAAAATTGTGGTCCTGCTAACTCGACATCAAGCCAACAGAATAAAAATCTTTAAAAAACCAAAAATAAAAGGAGATTCTATTAGTATTTAATTTGTACCAATTTGTACCACCCCAGAAAACATTAAAATATTTTTATCAACCCCTTAAAACAACCCCTATTTTGTCTAATCTAAAAAAAAGTCTTGTTTTCCAATTTTTTCAAAATTTTATTCCTTTCCAAGCTTTTGAAAATTTTATTAGATGAATGGAATTAAATTTATTACATTATTAATTATTTCTCATACTACTTTGTACTATTAAATACTATTTTGTACTACTAAAAATAATTTTGTAACTTGTTATTTAAAAAAACCTTTATTAAATATGTTTTATCATACAAATTATAAAAGAATAATTATATCTTAAAATAGTGTAAAACTTTTAATTCGAAACGCTGTAAATTAATAAAGCTGGTGTCACGGAAGATTTTTCTTTAACATTTCTTTCTTTTGTTCTAGATCGTTATATTCGATCCATGTCTGTCCTACTCTTAAACACATAGCTGTATAGTGCCCGATTGTTCGTATACCTCTTGTTCTAATGGGTTTTTTGTATACAACAACGCCAAGTAATTTATATTTTACTCCATTTAATGGATTTTGGAACGATTTATGAATATCGTTCAATTTAATATGGAAGTCCATATTTGTTGATGAGAAGATGTTGAAAATGACAATATCTCCTGAAAAATAAATATCGGTTTAATAATAAAGGTCAGTACAGCAAATGTGTCGGAACACAAAAATATTTTATTATGAAGAAAGAAAAAAACAAAATAAAGAAAATATTTAACCAAATTTTGAATTTCTTTCAGTCTAGCAGTACTACAAGTGACGCAATATTTTCCGTTCCAACATGTGCGTTTTGTTTCTTATAATCTTTCTTTTACTAATATTTTTTTAAAACAATGTACTACTTTATGTTTAATAATTCAAATCTTGTCTGTTTTAGATAGCGTTGTCGTTTCAACACCGGGACAATTTTTTGAGCAACAAGGATGTTCACCTTTTAAGTAAATGCTCTCTTTTATTATTTCATCGAAATTATTATTAATTGATGCTTCCGCAATTTTTAATTGATCTATTTGAATTATAGATAATTTCTTATATCGTGGCAAGCAACCAGAATTGCAACGTGATGTCTCTTCAAAACTTGGAACTGGATTGAACAGGATACCTGCTAGATAGCCTACATTTGTATAACAATCTACATATTTGCAATCACCAACATCAGAAACCGGGAATATTTCTAAAAGTATTTGCGCGCGCAATTTATATGAAGAGAGAGTAATTCCATTATTTATAGAATTAATAATTAATTTAAAGAATGAATTTGATTCTGCTATTTTGTTCATATATGTTAGCATGTTTTCAAAATCATGTCCTGCAGCAAGTAATATTTGAAATATACTATCAAATGCGCAAGTATTAGTGATAGTATAGTTATCATCATTTATACTTAAAGATTTTAGACATAAATTGTTACCGTTTTTTAAAATAGGTATCTTTACTGCTTTTTTACACGTCAAAGAATCTATTAATTTGTGTTTATTTTTACCTAAATACAATGCATTACTTTTACATGATTTTGTTGTTTCTAAATTTCGCCAATTCTCCACTTCACGACTTGCCAAAATATCTTTTATATTTTCAACATTTTTGCACGTCATGCATATACGACGTTGACCGTGACCTTCTTCGTCGTCATTAAAATGATAACAGAACATTGAGGTAATGTCATGAACATATTTTTCACATAAACAACAAATATGTGCACCTGTTGGCTGATCATTATTTTGGCATGCAGGACATGAAATATCTTTATCTAATAAATTATTATTAATTGTAGGCTCTTTTATAGACGTGTTAGTTAATGATACATGAAATTCATCATGTGCGTTTACAGGAGGATTCTTGTCACATGTATCAACTACTTTCATAATACCATGCAAATAATTAACATGCTTTTGAATAAAAGTATCAATACGCAAAAGTGGACAATTTTTTAACAGTAAAGATTTTATTTTATTAAATTCACTTTCCACAGATGCACTAGACGCAGGTGTGCGACCATAACCGAATTTATCAGTGTAAATATTCGTCCAAAGGGGTAATAATCTAATATCAATCATAAGACGATCAACTAATTGTGGAAAATAAAATGGATTTATTCTATTACCTTCGTCCGAAGTAAGTGACGATCTAACATTCTTTAAATTTGCTTACCCCATACAGACCATAAGTTTTCAAATGGATTGCTCAAGCTACCTACTTCAGTCGAATTTTCTATTTCGAATAGAGTACTATTATTGTTAGTTTCACTATTATTGTCAGTTTCAAAATGTTCTATTTGTAATGTATCAGTCATTAATTCTGTTAATTTAATACGTGCTTTATCGCATTGCGTAAGCTCGCCAGTTTCTAAATTTCCATCCGTTTCTGCTAATGCTATTACAAAAATAGAATGTATTATTTCTATTGCATTTGTAAGATTTCTACATAGTATTAATTGGCCAATCGCACCAAGATAAAATATTTTTATTCTTTTATTTAATGATTTAAAAAAATTTGAATATTTTTTTATAAAATGTGCTACATCTATTCTCACATAGCATTTAGGTAAATTAGAATTTTTACATGCATCCGCGTAATCTTCGATGGTAAGATAGCCTGTAAATGCACGAACAATTGCAATTAATAATGCTCTAGATGAATCGCATACCACTTCTTTGGGCACCGGTGCACCAGATCGTATCCACTCTGCCAACCAAAAATGAATGGAATTTGCATTATGACTTTCGCTTACCATTTGACAAACTGAAAATTGCCCACTTTTGCTATTGATAACACAGTGATATAAAAAAATATGTTTTGATATTGATCCATCTGCTTTGCACAAATGTTTAATAATACTATCAGTTGCGTCGATAAATACACATGTATCATTTTGACTGGCGTATTTTTTATAAACGTTTAGTTGGTGATTGCTCCAATAATGGAGAAGAACAGAATCTAATCCAATATTATGAATTATATTTTGCAATGATGATGACTTTAAA